TACAATTATTTGGCTGATGAAAGGATCTGCCTGTAAGAGAATAACTTCCCTAATGCTATGTGGAGAGGTTTTTTTAATCATGTAGATATTGTTTTAAAATAGACCATAATAAATAAACTTTTTATAGATCAGTTCCTGTATATGAGGGGAAGTGAGGGGGAAGGTATTTACTCTGATAGAGTCAAAACATTCTCCAGGACAAGAATGACTCAGGAAAAGTCATTTATTATGTCAATCACACAGGCTTGTCATTCATGAGGTATGGCCTTCAAACCAGGAAATAGAGGTGAGAGAGAGGGGAGTAATGCATTTGAAAGCTCGTATATGTCCCATGGGATAAGAGCTGTCCCACATGAGGATAGGGACCTGGGGCTTTAAAGGGTCAAAGCCAAGCAAATATTGGTGAAGCTATTATACCTCCTTAGACCTGAGATATAGTTTTATAGAGTCAGAAATCCCATTATACTGTTCTGTAGTATTGCTCTGAGCAGATAATTAGGAATCAAATTCAAAATAGAAAATAGAAATCTTCATGGCTCCCAACTCCAAAACATGTTCCTCTACTTTTTAAAAAATTATTATTATTAATTGTATTACCACCCTGCTACTCACCCAAAGTTTAAAAGCTCTGAGCAACATGTGAACCATTCCTCTCCCCTGGTCTCCTTGCTTAAATGTCAACTCCTAACAATTCTGTCTCCTAATATATTTTCCATATGCACCCCTTCCTCCTTTCTCATTTCTGCCACCTTAGTTTAGGCCCTCATTATCTCTAGCCTGAAACAATTTCCTCAGTGTCTCTCCTGTTCCCATACATCCTACACAGTGCTGCCAGATTAACTTCCTGAAGGATAGCTCTAAATCCATCACCATGTTGTGCTGAAAATTAGTCAATGCTTCTTCCACAGTCTTCAATCTAAAGTGCAAACTCCTTAGCCAAGAATTTTAATTTAAAGGGCCTCAGTGATCTGAACACAACCGACCTCTTCAGTCTTATATCCCATATGCATCGTCACATACTTTAAATTAGAACATGAACTCTTGGCTATTTTAAAGGACTCTGCCTGTTCCTTCTGCCTGAAATGTCCCTCCCCCTCCATTTCTGCTTATCCAAATCCTTCATTCTCCAAGACCAGTTAAGACCCATTTCCCTTTAGAACCTTTCCATGGCTTCCTAGGCCAGTGCAATCTATCCTGTAAACTCCTATAACATTTAATCTATATGACTCTCACAGAACCTATCATAGATTAGACATTGAATTAGAGTTCATTTTTTATATATCCTATACCTCTTACGAGAACATGAACTCTTTAAAGTTAGAGACTATTTTATTCATTACAGGTGCCCCATATTATGTAGCATAGGGGTTCTAAACCTAGGGTCCACAGACCCCAAGAGTCCATCTACAGGATTCAGGGGGCCTTGGATGGTGAACCTGGATGGAAAAATTCTTTTTCACTAACCTCTAATTGAAAATTTGCATTTCCTTAAATTGTGGATGCAGGCAACAAACCAGAAAATATTCATAGTATCTGTGATACTGCACCCAATAGAATTACAGTATATTTTTATATCACACTGTACAGGTTAGTGATATCTCAAAATATCTTTTATGTTTATCATTACTTTAAAATTTTGATATTGAGTCCCTTCATTAGATCTTGTTGTTTGATGCATTAGTAAAGTAGCATTTTCTAACATATCACAAAATTTTAGAATTATTTAATATTTTAATGTAACTCATTTTCTCTGTAATTCCATGGATTTTACTTTGTGCATTTAAACTAAGAAATAACCTGTAGGCTTCACCGACTAGCAAGGAAATCCATGGCCAAAAAAAAAATGGTAAGAATCCCTCGGTTCTACTACCACCTTGCAAAATAAAAAGAAAACTTGTAGAAAAATAATCATAATGCTATGTAGTTCTTGGTTAGGGCTATTAAAAAAACATATATGATGAACTATGAAATATTGTATAAGCATATTGTTCATAAAAATTCATAGAGCTTTGGTATTAGAAAAAGACCAATCTTCTGTCCCCTAGCCCTATTAAAATGGCAATAAAGATTGCCACACACCTCCAAGGACAATTTATTATCTTCCAAAGAAGATTATTCCATACATGGACAGGTACAACTGTTACACAGTTAATTTTGTTATAAATGATAATCTGGTTCCTTGCAACTTCTTGTCACTGATCTTCATTCAATCCCTATGGAACTACATAGAATAAACCCAATCCTTCCTCCACATGACTTTACTGTAAAGACAACCATCATGTCATCCTTCATCTATTTTCTCTGGGATTAATATTACTAGTTCCTTCAACCATTCCTCCTCTTATTATATAATTGTATGTCTGTTATCATGTCAACTGCTCTCCTCTGAGACTATCCCAATGTTTTTTAGTCCCTCTTAAAGTGCGGTAATTCTCAACTCAACACCATAATTCAGATGCATTGTATTGAGCAGGGAGTTCAATGGGACTACCAACTTTTGAATGCTACGTACTGTAATTCTAGTAATGCCGACTGAGACAACACTACCAAATATTTGGCAATATTCATCATGCTGACCCCAGTGTACTTTCTTAAAACTCATAAGCTTTTTTTTTTTTAATTCATGTGTCTGCTATTTGAATTTCCTTCAGTAATTATTTGTGCAGCTAGGAGCTTTGGTCACAATTTCTGGACTTAACAATAAGATCTATTAAATTTAATCTTGATGGGTTAGTTTTAAGTTCATATTTTCAGTTTGTCAAAACCTTTTGAGTTTTGTTTCTTTCATACATTTTATTCAGTGTTCCTCCTAGATTTGTAGAATCTGTAAGTTTGATGAGCATACTTTTATCACTTCTTATTTATACTTAATATATTATATACATTAATACACACTAAAAAAAGCCTGAAATTCTGATGCCTAAAGTATATATACTATAGAAAACAAAGTTCAGTGAAGTACATAAAAACATTATTTGATAGTAGGAATATAGTGATAAAGTACTCTTAAATGAGAAGTCTCATCTTGCAAGTGCCTCTCTTGTATCAAATCTTTAACACAAAATAATAAAGAGGAAGAACAGAAAACTAACCATGACTTGCAAGAGAAAAATTATTTTAAACTCCCTAGGAGTTCACACTGGAAAAAAAAAATCACCACAAATCAGTTTCTTTATTTTTGCATTAAAGAGCTCTCTAAAGAATTTTGAAAACCACTTTCTTATAGAACTAAACCATCTTTTTGGTAAATCATAATTAAAATAATCTAGCAATATCACTTATTCAGATTATTGATCTGACAGCTTCATTTATTCTAGAACATATCCAAGCAGGGGAAAATAAAGTGTCTGAGCAGCCAGAAGTCCACAAACAAAAGATCTTGTATATTACCCAGAATCTCTCAGCAACTCACCCAGACATATATGTTTATATTTTACTTATCGTCCAGGGGTTGTGATCATCTATTTTCATAATTTATAAATGAAAAAGAAACAAATTAGAAATTATTCTCAACAATGCAAAAAGTAACAGCCTGCAATGTGATATTGAAGGAAGAGAACCCAACATACACACATACACACAGACACATAGACACACACATACGTATGCACCAAAAGATACCTATATCAAGCAGACACAAGAACTCAAAAGTCTCATAATTGCAGAGAAATACCATAAAGCCAAATAGTCCTAATTATCTCTATGATCTCTGGGGGCATCATTACATTATAGCCTGATAAAATAATTGACATTTATAATATGATAATCATCACAGTACCCCAAATTTATGTAGTTTACTGCTCATATGAGATTTATACATTCATTATTATAGTTAATTCTCAAAATGTTTGAGTTACCCAGTCAAGTATTAGTGCCACACCAAATTTTAAATTTTGTGGCTCAGGGAAACTGAAGAACTTACCCAGGGTCACTTAACTATTAGACAGGTATTGGAGTTCATAGTCTACTGCACCATGACCCTGTGTCATCAAAAAATATTTACATTTTTGTGCCATATCATCTGGTTGGTAAGTCAGGGAGGTGTGTGATACATTTTAGAAACTTCCTTTTGTGCTGATGTGATGGACACATCCACAGAAATTAATTTGAAACTTTTAAACTTTTAAGCCCTTATAGGAATAAAATTAAGTTACATGAAAAATTCCCATATATCCCCATTTCTCTACTGTGCCACAGAACTCTAAATTTAACTTACAGTGTTAGCAATAAATCCAGAACCACTAACTACCCTACATTTCAAAGTCTAAAATCTGCACATAAAGAACGAAAGAACATACATAGTACAGCAATCACTTAGACTTGATTTATTTAATTTAAAAATATTATTAGAGTCTTCTTTCATGTTTTTTAGGACATAGGTGAACCTAAGTGAACCTAAGAACATCTCTTGAGAGCATAGAGGAGGTGGATGTGGGATGACGCAATAGATGTCATGTGTCACAGTACTTCCCTCTTGAGCATTTAGCTTTGACAAATTAGAAACCTCAAATCTCAATTCTACAACATTTGGAGGTAAAAGGATAATATTTATAAATTTGTAATATTTATAAAAAATACGGAGAAATAAATTAGTTTTGTTCTTATTTTTGTTTGATTTTCTTTTCTTTTTAAACAGTTGATCTTTTCATAATAAAACACTATCCATCAAAAGGAAATAAGGGAGAAAAAATGAAAAACAAAGTTGCAGCTGCAAAAGTTCCCATACTACACCTTTTTCCAGGGTAAAGCTTGCAGTCTGTTCAAAACCTTGATTTGTTATCATAAGAACAAAATAAAATGCACAAAGTTTTAGAAAAATGGAGCTATCTGCTTAATACTCTCAATGGATCACAATCGGCCATCACCATGGTAACCTCTGAATAACTTTTTCCTAGCTAGTGCCAATTATGCACTGCTTTGGCCCTTGAAATCCCACTCAGTTTTTTTAAAGGCCTGGAATCTTTGAAAGAATAAAGCCCAACAGTTAAGTCCACACATACCCTCTTGTTCAGTCCGAGTCATTTCCTCAAGCTTCTTCTGTTTCAGTGTGTCCACCACATCGGCAAGGCTCCCTTTGCGGCGTTCTGGGGTTCCAAAAGTAACACTGCTCATTATCTCGCGGTCCCGACTCCCTTCGTCAGGCTTATGTGGTGAGGTAGAGGTATTTCGGAAGGAATACAGGGAACATAACTTATTATTCTCTGACTCCTAGAAAAACAAAATAAAATAAAACCATTAGAACGTTTGTTTCTTTGCATACCATTGGAGAAAAATCCCAAACTCAGAATAACAGCATAGGAGGCTTAGATGGACAAAAAATATGAACCATCTCTGCTTTAAAAATACTAAACATTAAAGAAGCAATTATTTAAAACACTCTCCTGAAATTGAAGATTAAAACTATGTATTTTTTTTTAATTAGAAACCAACCTAAGTGTTTCAAACCCTTAATTTTAAAATGGACACTTTGACTTCTTACTCATTTACAACCTTCATTTAAAATAGTTTGGATTCAATTATTAAGATTGGCAAAGTTTTTCTTTTAATTGGCACTTTTGTTAAATGCTCTTCCCACAGCCTAAAATATATGTACATCACAGTAACATTATCCTTGAATTTAGAAATAGAGAAATTAGCTTCAATATCTAATGTTAATTATTCAACAGAAAATACATAAAATATCTAAATCAGTGCCAGAAAGTTCACCAACCTGAACATTTTTGTGTGCTGGGGTTTGAGGAGAATCATTTTTTTCCCTAGCCATACATCTTTCAAAGTTACAAAAACCTCTTTCTATTCCTTATCTTTACCACTTACACTTTAACACATAGTCACACACATTTAAAAGTGGTTTTGTTTTTATGTTTGTTTGATTGATTGTTTTTAAAAGGACAAGTCTGTTACAGAGACATTTGCACAAGAATTACTTCACCATACAGAGAAGGTAGCTAACTGGTAAGAGGGTTAGATCCATCTGTGAGGAAAAAATGCAAAACTGAGATTGAAAATAGTAAGCACCTAAAAGTTTATAGGAAGAAAATGTTTTTACAGCTCTCTAAATCAGAACTGAGGGTTGGAAGCAACTGTTATTTAGCTACAGCCCATCAGTAATCTTACATTCATTCACCTCATCTGTCTGGGCATGAGTATTCTCTTGCCCAATAAAACATCATATGAGGGGCGCCTGGGTGGCTCAGTCGGTTAAGCGTCTGCCTTCGGCTCGGGTCATGGTCCCAGGGTCCTGGGATCGAGCCCCGCATCGGGCTCCCTGCTCAGCAGGAAGCCTGCTTCTCCCTCTCCCACTCCCCCTGCTTGTGTTCCCTCTCTCGCTGTGTCTCTCTCTGTCAAATA